ATAGTGAGATGCTGTCTCAAAAAAATTTTTTTTAAATTGTGAGATAGGTTTTAAATGTCTAGACTGCAACTGATACGCTTTTCTTGAACTATTAGAGTTTTTTGAAGTAGAGTTTTTTCATGTTTAATTTGTATTTGTAAAAAAAAAAAATCCCCCCCCCCAAAAATCCCTGAAATTTGCAAATAACAAAAAACCAGAGCAAAGCCATTGTGCCTTCTGTTTATCTTTGATTACAGTCTTGGCAGTTGCTTAAAGAAAAATAATAAAGAAATCTCGATTTGTCTTATCAGGTTCAGAGTATACGGGGATTTGTAGAATCCCTCTTTCATCACCTTGTATGTCTTATGTTAACATCGTTATGCCTTATTCTAAGTCTGAGTCTCAAACTGGAAAGCCTTTGAAGACAGATGCTTCTATAGAGGTCCTTTGACCTAAATAGTTCAGCATTTGTATTGACTTTTATTTTGTTATCTAAGCAGATTCCTAATCATGGCCCATAAGGAGGAATGTGACATTAATACTGGACTTTGCTGATGGGCTCAAGTGTCTGCAATTTCTTTAAATTGTAGCCCTATGGTAAATTTTCTATTCCGTTATGGTTCTCTCTCTCTCTCTCTCTCTTTCTTTTTGATAGGCGTGCAGTGGGTGTTTCTTGGAAATAGCCAATTTTTATTAAAATATTTCTGGAAGAAAATTAAAAAAAATGAAGGCATCAATCCAAACATTTAAAGGTAGGCTCTACTGAGGGTGAGAAAATGCTGTGCAGAGGAGACCGGCTAAAGCTAGACGGTGGTGTTTTGTCTAGTTACTGGTTTTGGTTTAGAAATGCATACACACTTTTCAAGTGTATATAATGCAGGAGACAGTTTTCGAAAATAATTTAAACCTAAAGCCCAAACCTAGAGGAAATGAACCTGGGGGAGCGGCCAGGGTGGCGGCCTGGGGGCGGTCCCTTGCAGCCTTTCCGGACAACAGTGGGGGGAGTAACAGGGCCGAAGGCCGAGGTTCCGACAGAGCTCTGAGACCTCGGGGTGTCTGTGCAGGACTCCAGGAGTGGTCCGGGCTGCAGGGTACCCGGGTGCCATCCACTGCAGCCCCTGCCAGCGTGTCTGCTGATAGACCTGAACTCTGCGCAGACCGGCCCCAGTGGACCCTGAGAGCTGATGAGAACAAGTGAAGTGGGGCCTCCCGCCTGCCCTCTGCTGTCAGTTGCACCGAGCCAGTCTCGTTGGGGAGACCAGCGGCTTCTCCCGGCCAGAATCGGACACCAGTTGCCAAGTGTGTCCCTCATCGCACCTGGGCGCATCTGGGCTAGGAAAGGGTGAGGGGGGGACTTTGCAGGGGACCTTGTTCTGGGGAGATGTGGCCACACACCCCCACCTTAGAGGGGTGCAGAGAACAGAGCTGCCCTGGGGTTGAAGTCACACAGGTTGGTCGCACTCACTGTGCATCTTCCCCAGGGGACTTCACCTCCTCAGGGTCCACCCTACTCATTTCCACGCAAATATTTCCCACCTCCAGACCAAGTCCTAGGTGATTTCTGTGACTCCAGAGCCTGGACACTCAGGGCAGACGCCCTCCCACCCAGACTGCTAG